CCCGCCCCCAACTCGCTCCTTGCACATCTTCATGACGGTTCCGAACATAAGGCAGGAGTGGGAGGGACTCTTGCCGTTGAGTCCACAGAGGATTCTCACAGTACAACACTAGTGAATGGTACCCAAAGGACACCAAAAAAAACCCACATTATAAAATTTGCTAAATTAATTAAAACAGGAAGCAAGACAAGCTAATTATTGGAGAAGTGAACGAAGAGATCTGCAGCTCACCGACGGGAAAAAAAATTGAATGTAAAACTGTCCTGCATCTCCCTCAGCATCACAGCGAATGCGCGATGTCTGTGGTTAAGCATGACTGAGTAGTAGCCAGCCAAAGAGACGAAAACAACCCTTCACAGGCTGTTACAAGGGCGTCGTGCACAGCAAGCCCAGACACATGCCACCAAAGGCACACAGGATGTCGAGAGCTCCCTCCATGGGCTGAGAAGGGAACTGCATTTCAGTTGTGTACCATGTTACACATGAGCGACTCTCGGCCTGTGGGCACAGTGGTGACCATTCAGGGAACATAAGCTGGGGATTATTTCCTCTTCTACCCCAGTTGCCAAACATGTCAACAATGACACTTCCTAAAAGGCTTCCTGTAAGCTGCCAACACTATCCGGGGGGGGGGCTGTTCACTGCCACCGAGCTAAAAGTAATCAGTAATCTGAACAGCCTACGGAACCGCTTTGGGGGCCCTCTGGCCTTGTTATGTTAGCCTGACACCAAGGCGAATGATCCTCGTTTCACATCCCTGAGACTTTACACCTTTAAAGATTAATGTGACAGATTAAAGGGGGGGGGGGGGTAGCTGGCTAGGCAGTCACCAGCGAAAGCATGTAAGTTACCACGGACGTGTGTCATAATGCTGAGGTGACCCGTTTCCATTGGCTGATGCCTAGAGGGGCGGGGCAGAGGCACAGACAGTGACGGTCTGCTGTCCGTATCGCCACGGCGCCGCCATCTTGGTAAGGTCTGGCAGACAGCCACACTTACAGGCAGGACCACAGCGGCTCCCTCACGCCGCCGCCTGGTTTAAATTAAAGGAGCGCAGTGGAAGTGCCAAGCCAACCCCGGCGACTCGACCGCAGACGTGGTGGAGCGCACCGGAAGGTCTGTGGGGATAGGGAGGGGGAGGGTTAGGCTGCGGGTCAAGACAAGGTCGGGACGGCAAACCCCTCCGAGTCCACCATTACCACCCCCTCTGGTCACCATCAGCAATTTTTACTTTTCCTGAGAGAAACACACACACATACACACACACACACACATATGTTAGAGATTAGGAGTGCTCATTTACTGAGACTTTGAAGGAAGAAAACATCCTGTCACTTTGGAGGGGGGGCTACTAAACCGCTTCCCCCTAATAGAATTGTATTATTTCTATGGTTTGTATTACCTGACACACCATTTGCTAAGTGGATTTTACCAGCTAGTGGTATTAGGATTTTTTTTTTGCTGTGTAATGGGGGGGGGGGACAGACCAGACCCCAAAATACGTACAATTATTTCTGGATGAAAGCTAACAGCATTCGGAAATCTATTATTGCTTTATGGTGACCGTGAATAACAATAAACAGTAAATGTTCCAAGGCTGAGCGCAGCAACAGGAGACGCATCATCAATAGCAGCTATTTCAGCAAGTCCTCATTAGACATAAAAATATCCCAGCAGAAAAATGTCCCTCTCTCTAGCATCCTGCCAGAAAAGTTAAAGGGTTCATTACGTAAACATTGCGAAGGACAGCAGAGAGCATGGGTTGTTCTGCACCAGGTGTCCCACAGGGGGCAATGTAGAGTTGACACTGCATGCAGCTGTTAGTGTGAAATGTTTTGTGTGTGTGGCTCCAGACAACCTTCAAATTCAGCTTCCTAAGGGTATCGGTCGGGGTCATAAGACTCCAGCAGACAGCACAGGAGATCCTGAATGCTCCCCTCCCACTTTTATCCAGATGTTACCCCACCCTGAGTAATACACCCACGAATCAATGCGCTCCTCAGCATACAGAGGACCTGCTGGAACCTGTCTGCCTTCAGTGTATCTGCTCATCATACCCCCCACCCCCCCGTCCCCCACCGCCAAATATCTGATGGGCAGGAAGATGATCTGGGAATTCCTAACATGCCAAAGCGTGTCTCACTCAAAAACAGTGGAGAGGAAGAAATGAAGAGGAGCCAGCAGCACCTGTGAGCGTGCCTGTCTGCCTGTCTGTCTGCCTGTCCGTCTGCAAGTCTGTCCGTCTGCAAGTCTGTCCGTCTGCAAGTCTGTCCGTCTGCAAGTCTGTCCGTCTGCAAGTCTGTCCGTCTGCGCACGTGTACCTGTCTGCCTGTGCGCCTGCGCATTCGCTCCTTACCTTATGGGGACATTTTTGGGTTTAACATCCACACCAGAATGTGCAGAGTGTAACACTCACAGGTACCAGCCCATTCTGTGCAGACACATCCGCAGGCACAGTCACGCCCACACTGGCATCGTCACGCCCACACTGGCATCGTCACGCCCACACTGGCATCGTCACGCCCACACTGGCATCGTCACGCCCACACTGGCATCCACACAAACGGCGTCTCTCTCTAGCGATGTCACTCAGCTCCTCACTGACAGGGTGACATAAAGGCAGCCTACAGCAGTCACTGAGGCCAAGCTGGCCTGTTTTACAACTGTGAAGTCAAACTGTAACCCCACCCCACCCCCCCAAGGGAGGCATTTACACCGGGAGAGTCGAAGGACAGAGGAAGGGAGGACCGGAGAGCTGCCAAAGGAGACCGTGGGCTTACAGCACCGTGACAGAGACCTTTTTCCAGAGAAAGGCAGCTATTCCACCGAATTCCTCTCAGGGTGAATCCAACGCCTTCAGATCCACTCCAACAGCACTGCGTACCGATAGGTTATTACCAAGGTGGCTGACCTACTGAAAAGTTTAAGGGTGTCTTTATACACATTTTAGCCGGGGAAAAGAAATAAATCAGATCCCTCACTCCTTAAGAGACGACAGAACAAAGATGGCTGAATCCGTGGGAAACTCAACTACTGCTTAAAAACCTCCCAGACTGATTTACCTCAAACAGCAGGAAAAATGAAACCTATCCCTGCAGGCAACAGGAAGGCAAAGGGACAGGTTTACATTAACTGCTCATTGGTGGCTTTTAAGTAAAAATCCATGACGAGAATCAACGACATGCATGTTTACAGGTCCAACCATTAAGAAGATTTTGACGGAGTCATCAGAGACTGAAAAGAAAAGCGCCATAATTTCTTCCAGATACCTGCTAAGCTCTGGTCAGCGTGCGCTGAACCTAGAAGGGTAGCAGGGTCATGTTTTAAACATGCCTGTCAAACTAATATTAATAAAGAAAACAAAAAAAAATTTGAGAAATCCACAAAAAGGTCAAGTGGGTTTATGGGGTCATTAATTCCACTATGGTGCGTGAATGGAATTCAGAGAATGAAAATTACACCAGCCGGTTTTTAAAATACAACTGAATAATAAAAGCTTCAGTTAATCTAAAATCAAGACAAATTAGCAGATACGGTTACCTGGCTAATTCCTTTTTTTGTGTATTTTACGAGAGGGTTAAGCAAAGAAATTTAATCATACAATTCAGTAAGAAGAATAGGACAATTACTGGCAAGATAGTGCCTTTTAGTTTATTATACCGGGCCATGAAGGGCACCATATGACCCAAAGCATGCCTGGACGTAAAAGGGGAACTTACTGGAGCTTAAATTAGCTGCATCGCAACCATATTATAGTCCATGTGTCATAAGGACATCGGCAATTTGGCAAAAGCTGCGTGTCATTCTGAAAAACCATCCATATTAAATCATTTAGACATGG